CAATGGTGATTTTATTTAAAAAATTTACTCTTTAGCATTTCAAGATGTTTTTTGTTAAAATGTTATTTTGGTTAAAATGAGATGTCAGTGTTAGATTCATTTTTGCATAATTTAGACGACAATTTATCCATCGTACTTTGTATAATGCAGGTATGGCAATTATTTAATTTCAGAGATGTAAAGTCTACCATAGGTGGTAAGAAAGATATAATCTCAAAAGAGAAACAAGTTACTGATATATTACCAATATTTAAATATTCAAAGGAAAAAAAAAAAATCAACTATTCTCATCAAAATAGCTGCTGTTTATATCAGATTTTCATAATACAGAAAAGTTAGTTACATTCCATCATCACAGATATAACCCCTAACTAACACTAATGTGGATGAACGGAGGTCCTCTCGGGGAAGCACCATGCCTTGAAAGACTGTTGGGCTTCAAAACTCACACCTGACCTCAAGCGGAATTCATACATACAATCCATTGCTAGGATGCAGGCAATGGTTACCTGACCCCTCCTGCTATCCTCTACAAGAGCCAAATCAGTCCGAAAATGGAGTACTGCAGTCATATTTGTACAGGAGCTGCTCAGACCTCCCTCTCCAGCCTTGATAGAGTTTGAAAGCATCTCCAAGCTATTGTAGGTGATGAACTATTAACCCTTTAACCTCTCTCCCACAGGTGGGGTGTGGCAAGCATCTCACTGCTCTACCACTACTTCCACAGAAAGTGTTTGGACAAACTACATTCCCTGATCCCCACTGGGGCAAACCTTCACAGCTAGAACCCGACATACCACTTACATAGCAGCAAACAACCCACACATTCCCTCCATATTCCATCAGTGAGAAGTAAGTTTCACTCGAGAAGCCTCTTCCCACAAACCATTGCCCTGTGGAACCAACTCCAAACAAGATGTTTCCCCCAATAACTACAATCTTAACCTGTTCAAGGATAGGGTTAACCATTATCCTCCACTCCTATACAGACAAATGGCCTCCAAACATAACCCTCTACCTCAAGTGGGCCCCCAGGCCTTGTAAAGGGGTGAACCTCATTGTTAAAAAAATAAAAATACAGCTTGACTTGTTTACTAATAAAATACTAAATAGAATTTTATAATTTTTACAATACAAAATTGTAAATTGAAAGCATGATAAAAGGAATTTTGAAGATAACTGAACAGAAAAATAACATCAGCAAGAACAAGGTAATCATGAAAAGATATGAAAAATTAAAAGCAGCAGCAATCTTGGACGAAGTTGGTATTAAAAAACCTAAACAAAGAAAAAAGATGTAGAATATTAAGAACATTAGCTATAAACATAATAAAAGCAACCAAACTAAAACATCTAGAAAGAGAAATATCAAGTTGAGCAAAGAGTAGTACATGAAAAACTGATTTCCCGACAGTAATTTTAATGATGAATATTTGATGGACTTGATGATTGAGCTAAAAGTTGGGTCCTTAGTGAACAAACACAGTGGAAAAGTTGAGTAATCTTTTGAGCCTTCAAAGTTAATGATAGTGTCAAAATAAGTTTTTGGACAAGTCATTTATTGATTGGCGCAGGTCACAATCAACAAGCTAAAAAGAGTATATGCAAAAGAATCCAACTTCACATTCTGCAAAGCTGGCTTGCTCACATTGCCAAGGAAGATTTCATAAACACCAAATTAATAAAACTCCTTAATATAGAATATTTTTCCAGCATCTCTAACAAACAAGATCTTCAAGATAAAGCTGAAAAAGCCTTGAATGAAGATACATAGATATTTAGTGGAAATTTTAAATTTCATGTATTTCATCAATTTTGTTTAAATGCCTTACTAAGTCCCTGGCAAACAACCTGATACAAAGGAACAAAGCTAATATGAATTGAAGTCATCTCAAAGTTTAAAAAATGATCGGGTAACAGATTTTATTATTCCAAATGGCTAAATTTTTAATTTATATTTAATTATACCTCTGTAAAACTTTTAATTTAAGATTCCAAGTTGATTTCTGTAATCAAGAAAATCAGAAGTAATGCCTAAGTAGTTTCAATAGAAAAACTAAATGTGACAAGGTAATCTACAATAATAATCGGAATTAGAAAGCCATCACCGTAATAAACAAAACTATTCTTTCTTTATATAAAAAAATGAATGAATATTCCTACCCATTTCAAAAATATTACCAATTCAGAAGTTTATTTAAAGAAAAAAATCAACTGTTCTCATAGAAATAGCTTTTTAATTAAAACTGCTGTTTATATCCGATTTTCATAATACAGCTGACTTGTTTAAGTTTACTAAAAAAATACTAAATAATTTTATGACAATTTTTACAACTTAAAATCGTAAATAAAGTCATAAATTATTTTAATTTATAAACTCTAACTAAACATACAGAATAAACACTAACGAAAAAGTAAGCATATCTTTCTTACGCATTCTAAATAAGTTTAATAAAGAATATAAAATTTAAAATATCTTGTTTTTTTAACTGATTTTTTTTTTAAACTATCCAGTGCAAATAGATTTTTCTAATTGAAAGAGCTACTGATTCAATTATGATACCGGTTAATGATAATTTGAAACGAAATATGTGGGTGAATATAAGGAGAAATATCTAAAGAGAATTAACTCATCGTACCATTAAAGTCAAATTTTCTTTGTGCTATATTTCTTAGAAGAAAAAAAAGAACACCATTGAAGAGCAAACAAAATCTCGTATCAGCTGTGATTGAAATAAGTTTACGTAGCACCAAATGAAAATGATCAAGGTTGATTTATTTGTTGATGAATACTACAAAATATTTAAAAAAATGAATAGATTTTGTAAAAAGCAGAAAAAAAAACAAACGTGGAACAAAGCAAACTAGTTTTTTGTTCTTTAAATAAAGAAATAACAAACAACCAAACATACATATTGATTGCACTGTAAGAGAAAAGGTTTTAAACGCCAATAAAATTCCATTTTACACCAGATTTAAAATTATATGTAAGTACAAAACTAAGTATATTAATTTTTTTTTAAAAATCTCTCTAGGCTTAAATTTAACTAGAAACTAAAAAATATATTTTTATGTTTTTCCAAAATCAGTTACTACAATATTCCAAGGCACATCGAACTGATATATATATACACACACACACGAAAGTGATACTAAAATAAAATAAAAAACACTTAATTTTAATTTCACATTGATCGATTGTTTTAGTCGACTACACTGTTTTAGTGTATAGTTCATCCATCAACCAATTCTAAGCCATATCAAATATTACTTGTCAAGTAACAAATAAACTTAGCACCAATAATTTTTTATGAATTTTGTTTATATATCAAAATCATAAGTTTAAAAAAAAGTTACGATTTTTTTTGAAGTCAGAAAGAGGATTCGTTTCTTTTCCTATGAAAACCAAAGAGGAAAAAAATTAAAGATGTATTAATTTTTTTTAAGTGAAAACGATTATTAACGAACTTTCCTCTCAATAAAAACTAAAGGAAATGAATTCAAACATTTGTTTTCTGAGAATTCAAAAGAAAAAATACTTGTCGGTTTTCTTTGTTTAAACAAAAACATTCAGTTTCTAACAATCCAAAGAAAAAACAAATATTATCGTTAAAAACTATCATTGTATATTTTCAGATATACACATTTAAAGCAACTTTAGTACCTAAAATTTTTTTTAAAAAAAAAAAAAAAAAAAAAAAATAATTATCTAGCAAGTTAAAAAAAAATGAGAAGGTTTGATTCTGTAAACTTTGTTTTCATGAAGCATTTGGTATTTTGCTTTGTAATCAGTGCAATCAAAAACATTAGTACATAGATGAAAATAAAATATGAATTTTTACACTATTTATAAAAGATTTAATTTTATATATTACCCCCAAAAATAGTTAACGGTACATTCTTAAACTTTTTCGAAGGTAAAAAAAATATATATATAAAAGACGTTAAAAAAGGATATCTGTTGAATTGCGCAATTAGAGGAAAAAAATATCTGTCAATATAGGTACTCTAAGTGAATTACTATTTTCTTCTAAGTAAGGAAACAGTGTTGTAGACATGCAGAAAAAAAAGCGATTTTACAAACATAAACAACAAATCTCTCAAATAAAATCAACACATTTAAAGCAAAAACGAGAAAAACCACAAAAAGCGGCCATATTTCGAAACACGAGTTTCAGTTTTAAAATATCAATTCGACCAAACTCGAAAGTCTAAAATAAATAAAACTGATATCAACTTCTACATTCATCTAGCATTTTTACAAACATTCCTCCAAAGAGATGCACAATTTTCAGAAAGAGAGTAAAGTACGTTCAAAAGAGAAGATATCTACCTAACGAAATATATTTCAAATTATGGGGGTTTTGTTTCACAATTCTCTATCCAATAAAAAAATCTGATCCCTCACTTTTCTATCATTTAAAATACATCTTCTAAATATCTTTTATTTTAAGTTAAATACCTACATTTCATACTAATACCCACCACCCTAAACACCTTAGTCCGTTACTAATAAACATGCTTTTTGAATTACGATAAAGGAGATTCGTAGTAAATTCTATGCATAAAATAAATCTTTGATCTACGGTGGTCCTAAACTGGGGGATCAATTTAAAATAAAAATCTATTATAAATCGATCCCCAACTTTACGGCAGTTATGAAAAATCTATCGTTTATCCGTTAAAAAGATAGCTAAGAAATAGTTCGCTTAAATAATCAAATTCCTAAACCAATTTACATTCATCGGAAATTATTTAGTATTTAAAAACAAATTAAGATAATTTACATATTAAAAACATTTTTAACCTTTAAACTCATGTCTTTTTGCTTTCGACATTTAAAGACTTAAATGCTCTCTTAACACATTATTTTGAATGGATGAAGTCGAGTGGAGCACAACAAAAACGAACAAAAAGATGTGTATATATGGGTAACGAAGAGGTTGTTTAGATTTTTTTAAGGGAAAGGGATATCTGTTTTGTATTTTTAAGAAATTCACCTGCACTGGTTCTTGTACAAGCATCGTGTCTTTAAGTGTCAACTACGTCCGCCATAAACACAGTCTACATTCAAACGCCCCATTTCGTTATAAGTCCGTACGCCATTGGGGTACGCCTCGTTTTCAAATAGACGTCACGTGATTAGGTTTGTGAGGAGCATCACCAAAAACAAAAATCCGGTCCTGAACCGAAATACACAGATGAGGCAAGAAAAAAATATTTCTTGACATGCAATGACACATGAATCACTTCTGTATCAGTCATTGTACATTCGTTTCATCACTATCCTTTTATGATGGGATTATTTCGTTCATCTTTTCTTTACACCAAGAAAAAAAAAACAATTGTCATTTTGATTACTACAATGTTTACTTTTTTCATTTGTCTATTTTCAATATGTGTTGATTATTTTTATCAATGTATAACTGTGGTATTTTGGTGAGCTTGTGGTATTCTGGTATTAGAAACTGAATAGATAGTATATAATATGAAATACAAACAAGTATAAAATTAGTTTTTCATTCTCTATTTTAATGGTTACATCACATTAAATAAATAACATTGTCATTTTTGACACATTTCAGTTTGTAAAATAAGATTCTAAAATATTAGACCAAGTATATTAACAGAATAAGTGAGTTTACTAAATTCAGTTGCATCCAAAGTTTTAAATTAAAAAGCACACAAATTTCATGTTCATATTTCACAGATATTTTTCTAATAGAATAGCAAGAAATAAATACAAAAAATATAATAGAAACATAGTTATATCCAAAAATTTCACAGTTTTCCTATTTTACTTTTCTGATGAATCATAATTTTCAAGTTAATAATTGAATAAGCTGTTTGTGAGTTCCACAACTGTAAAATACATGTGGAAAATCCCCTATTGCATTGTTAAATGTTTGTGTTTAACAACTTTAATGAAATATTGCAATAACAACCACACATATGAATGCAGGTCATTATTTAAAGAAGTAAGAGGGTACAAATGAAAAGATTAAAAATTGACAACTATTTTCATTTCACTGAAGCAGAGGAGAAATGCATGAGAGCATTATCACCTTCTCTATTTTCCCTTTTTTCATTATTTTTTCTTTCTCCCTTTCTTTCTTTCTTTCTTTCTTTCTTTTTTCCAAAACCTAATCTTCTTGGCATGGGTAAATCAACTGTTCATTTTATCTCCAAAGTTCCATGCCACTATACACTCTTCAGGCAGTTTCTAAAACCAAACCACATCTATGATATATCTTTTTCTTCCACTTTCCCTCACAGTCAAAACTGAAAGGTTCATTATTTATCTAAGGTAATAGCAGGGTGTAATGCACATGCTAAATAACTTATGGAGGAACAAGCAGAATTATATGATGATGATAATGATCTGATTTCTGTTCACAGATATGTTCATTTGTTGTTACACAGCAAAAACAACACATCATAGCAAGACATTTGGGAAGGAAATACCAGCAGAAACTTAATGACTAACTTAATGAATAAAACAATTTCCAGCTCAATTTGCAACTTAAAAAATACCAACAGTGTGGGTTTTGTATTCACTCTTAACTTGATAATCATGATCCAATTTTTTTATATTTGTTATAAAGAAAGCAGATAAAGTGCAAATTCAAAAATTTCTTATTCCATAAATCCTTAAGGTGATTTACAAAAATTGTTTCCTTTTTTTTAGTTCAGTTTCTTTTAAAGAAGACAGGTTTTTGTACAACAGGGAATATATGAGACAAAAAGATTTCTTAATGACTCCTCTTACTATTTTTTTTAATCATTTCACCTTAAGCAAGGCAATAATGCCACTAAGACACAAGGGAAGACTTCAGTGAGGAGAAAGAACAATAAAAAAAAAAAAGAAAAAGGTTCAGGAAGAGAGAATATGGTGATTGACATTGCACTTAAATTTTTGAAGATTTTAGTTGCCAGGGAAACTGCCTGAAGAGTGTATAGTGGCATGGAACTTTGGAGATAAAATGAACAGTTGATTTACCCACGCCAAGAAGATTAATCGAGGATGATAAAGATGAGGAAACACACAGGTAATTTTAACAAAACAAGATAAGAAATTTATTTACAAATTTACACGCTTGAAGCTCGTTTCAGGAAAGTAAATCAGAAATTTTCAAAGTCCATAATTTTAACAAATAGTCATGAAGAGGAAATGTTCATACAACAGATTAAATGATCTGACACAAAATAATATTAAAAAATGTTTAAAACAAAGGTAAGAGAGTTTGCTGTTCACAGAAGGGATATACAGTTTCATACATTCAAAAGTAGATAAAGAGAGATAGTTTGAAATTCTTAGCTTTCTTGTATTGTTGAGAGAAAATTGTTTGAAATGACACAAGCTTTGTAAAGGCTGATAATATAATTGACAAGTAATTTGGCACTGGCAAGAACTTGAATACTGGATGCATGAACAGAAACAAAACCTTTCACATTACTTCAGACACTCTTGTTAATTTAATTTATTTTTTTATTTCAAAAAGGATTTTTCATATGCTCACTATTTTATTTTCTTTCTTGGCTCAGCAGCTAATTTCTGTGAAGACAAAGTTTTCATTGGTCCAAAATAAAATTACACATAGGGTTGCAAATTTATTTTGTCTTCTTCTCAGCTCACCTGCCAATTTCTGTAAAGGCAAGGTTTTCATTGGTCCAAAGAAAATTTCCCATATGTTTACAAATTTATTTCTGTCTTTTTCCTCAGCTTGCCAGAATTTGAAAGAGTGGGTAAAGGGAGTTATTATTGTTTTGTACTCACTACAAGAGTTTCAGAGATTATAAGTGAGAGAAAAGAAACTTTTTTCAGACAACTACTTTGATTGTTACTTGGACTCACACAGATGAACTATTTACTATGTGCCCTTTATCTATACCAGTGTTTCCCAAATTGGGTGATAATGCCCCCTTGTGGAGTCTGTTATGTTGAAAGGGGGACACTAGGAGTTTTTTTTTATTTCATTTGGTGGATGGTGAACATATTCAGGTGGCAGTGGGCATGTATCCATTTTTGTTTCAGATTTTCAAAAATTATTCAATATTGGCTACAAAAGGAAATTTGTGAAAGTGCTGTGGAAAGCTATCAAACTTTTCTTCATTGCTTTTTCAACTTCTAATATGGGTGAATGTGGTTTCAACGCAGTTACAGAGCTTCTTACTAAACAAAGAAACTGCCTGCAAAACAAGGTGATTTACGATTACTTCTAAGAAGCATGGGACCTAAGGTAAGAGTCTTAGCCAGTAAGCACCAAAGTCAACCATCACATTGAAAACAATGAGATAAGCTATCAAATAAAAATTTTTTTAGGATTTTGATCATTGGAATTTCCAAAAATGAAAACAGTGTTAAGATTATTTTTGCACTAATATCTAAGTGTTATCTTGCTATGAAAGATGAATTCAATATAATATATGAAATTTAATTTGACGTTGACAAAAAGTTTGTGCCCAAAGGGGGCACTGGTTGAGAAAAGGTTGGGAAACGCTGTGCAGGCATAGCAGTGGACACAAAATACATGTGAATATTTAACTGAAAAATAGTCAGCTCTATTCTAAAGTGTATTAATTGAAAAGTGTCAAATTTCTAGTAACTATACATGCTTAAAAGGTGCCAGTTAATAATTTGGCATATATTTTAAATACTGTGTAATTTTATCATATGAATTAATTAAATTTTAAATCTGTATGTATATCTTATTAATAATTTTCAATAAATATTTTTTTTTATTTTGTCTAAATATTGCTAATTAATAAAATATGTTTAAATATTGTGTCTGTGATGAATTGAATCTAATTTATTCATTTTACTAAATCTTAATTTATACATATTTTTAAAGTTTTTCTTCACAAACACTACATATCTCTATTTCACAGATATCATTATTTTATGCAAAAATTATTAATCTTTTCATTTTTTTCTTTTCTTCATCATTAACATTTCCATACTTTATTATTTAAAAAAATCTTTCTAAATTGTAAGCATGTATGTTTGAAAACTATTTAATAAAATCCTGCTGATTAGGGATTAGTAGTAAAAGTAAAGCTAACTTTAAAATTCAGATAATTGTTGTTGAGCTAATTAGAGTGTAGTCTCCCTCTTATGAATTCTATGAATTGAAAGTGATTGATATTGAGTTTAAGGGACACTTTTTGTGATATTTAAGATAAACAATTGTAACAACTATAACAGAAATAAAAATCTTGATAAATTCCAATTAAAAATTAATCCAATAATGGAGTGCTTGAAAAGAGGAAGGAAATAAGTTGGTCTTGTCCACTCTCCATGATTCATGACATGAATTAGTATTACCATAACATAACACCATAATGTGATGGAAACAACTAGAATAACACCAAGAAATGAATTAAAAAATATGAAAACTTTTAACATAAAAAATTAAAGTACACAAATATAAGTCATATAAGATGTAATCTTACTTATTATAAAACGCAGATTGTGTGTGTGTGTCTGTAACGTTTATATATTGGATCGGATTTCCTACATTTTTCAACCGATTTCAGCAAAACTTCACAGGACTACATAAAATTACCTTGTGGTGGTTCTAACAGCGCCAAAAATGGGAAAAATATAATTGTTTTTGCACAAAATCAATTTGAAAACACGATTAAGAGACATCATGAAAATGGAAGGGGGACAACTCACATCGGGTTGTTTGTGTGTGGGGGTTCCTTTAAATATGGGAGCGGATTTCCTATATTTTTCAGCCAATAAAACAAAACTTCACTTTTTTTTTTTTTTTTGGCAGGTAGTGTTTCTTATTCTCTTACACACTTTTTTCTTTATTTTTAATATTCACAATGCTTTAAAAATTCCATTTACAAGATAATTATTTATAATAAAATTCTATTCAATCAGTAGACTCATAATGATTGAAAACAATGTTTTTGTTTGAATTTGGGTTTGACCAATTCGTAAAAAATTAAAAAAAATCTAATTAAGACATGCGTGTCCGTCAACCTTAAAGAATAATCTAACGATTTCTACTGA